GAATCGTCCTCATTTTTCCCCCAGGTGTTTTCTGCGAGGTGTCATTGGGGACTCATCAGCTGTGTCTCCACTTAGCGGCGGAATTTAATTTTTTCTCGGTCATAGCCTCAGATGACAGGCTTTGACTATAGCTCCTTTCGGCTCGTAGCAGCATTTCTCAGTGCTTCTCCATGTTTTCCGGAGTCGTCTTGATGTGAGTTGTCGTTTTGTCTCCGTGATGGCCAGGATTAAGGAAGGGGCTTTTCCCCGTTCATGCAGAGCAGGAAGCACTTGGTTCTTCCTTGGTCACAGCTTCAGCTTCAGCCTTGGAATTTTGTCTTCAGCATTTGAGCTGTAGAAATTAGAATGTGTTAGCAACATGGAAACAGTTTCGCATTCTGTGAAAGGAGAATATCTCATTCTGTATGACGGAGTTGAGGAAAAAAAAAATTGAAAGCACTCTAAATTTGGTGTTGGAGCTTTTTCCTTCTGGATTGATATGTTCTGAAAGGCTGTGCTTGGAACTCGTTGCTAGCTTTACACAAACCGGTCCTTTAAATTTTGTTTGATCCCTTTTAGATGTGGATAGGAAACGAACATGGAAAGGTCATTTCTCCATCCCGAGTGAAAAAAGAGATTGTAGCCCGTTTTGGGGGAGAATACATTAGTGGGACTAATTTGCTTCGCTTATGTATCCTGGCTAGCAGATCGCTCTCTTTGCTGTTCAAGATCTATATTTCGTAGACTGGTTATAGTGCTGAAAGAATTCTGCTTCATAGATTTTTAGTTTTGTATTCTTTTTTCACAAAGATGTTGGAGGTTTTAGTGGAACTCGGGTATATAACGAGAACAGCGCATTGTTGCGATTCTATTTACAGGAATTAGACGTCTGAGATAGGAAGAGATCACACATCAGAGAGATCGGCCAGAGGAGGGTTTAGGCATTTGATTCAAGACCATTGCACATTGATTAGTGGTCAGCATTGTTTCAAGAGTTGTTACTTTTGTTCTACGGTTCCATCATTATTTTATTGAACACATATCGTACCAATGTTATTAAGAAATACTTAGATGAATAGTTTACTAAAGAACTACAGTGCTTTACACATTGATTTCAGAAAAAAGGAATCCTAGAATGACTTCATTAAACGTAAATCTGTAAAAAATAAGAAAGCTTTAGGCATACCTTAGGATAGGATTTAAAATATTCGAATTCGTGAAAGCTTCCTTTGAGTGTTTCAGCTGCATCTTTATTTTTACTTACCATTGAATACTATAACAATTAACTCCCTGCCTTCAAGAAGCATGCAATTGCTCTCGTCCAGCTTGTGTTAATGAACCTGATAGCTCTGTATTTTCGGGATGAGGTATCTTCCCGTTTTCTCGCTGAGAACCTGTTCTTGAAGATGCTTTTAAACACAAAGGATAAGGGTAACAATAAGCTAGAGGATAAAATTTGAAAATTTTAATTTACATCTAATGACATTCCGGTGCGGTTAAAGAACCACGCCCCCGAAATGCCTCTGCCTTCCTCCCGATGGTGCTAGCCTGGAGGATGAAAGCAGAGACCGGCTGGGGAAATGCGGAGGCCGGAGATCCGCGCTGGATCTCCTGTGACGGCTCGGTGGCGACTGTGCCCTGTGCGCAGCAAGGCAGGACCGCGGCGCTCGGCGGCGCCCGGTGCCTGCAGTGCCGGGAGGAGGCTGCGGGTGCCGCTGCTGACCGAGAGGAGCGAGAGGAGCTCGGAGCGCCGCAGCCCCGCCCGCTGCGGATCCGCTCGCTCGGCCGCTCGCTCC